AGGAGGGGCGAGAAGCGGAGGCGGAGCGGGTCGGGAGGAAGAGCGCTGCCCCTTCGAAAAACAGAAGGGCTCCGGGGGTCGAACCGCAGCGCTTCCTGCCTTGCCTCGAGGGTGACAGCGACGCAGACCTACGTGTCCGACGCGAGCCTTGGAACCCCGCTGCTTCCCCCTACTAAAGGCTCGGGCGCAGGTGCCTTCCCTCGGGGAGGCGGGGCCGCGGGAAGAGCCCGCCCCCCCCCTGCGGCAGCCAATGAGAGCCAGCCCGCGGGCCTATCTTGTCCCGCCTCCCGCCCGGCCGGAGCCTTTCGGGAGTGGCTCCGCCCCCAGCCTTAGGTCATTTGCATGTGGCCGCGGGTAGGCCTCCCGGAAAGGAATCGTTTCCGCGGGTGGGAGCCGTGGCTGCGACGCCCGCGGGCGCTCCCCGCCTCGCTGACGTCTGGCTGGCGGAGTCTCCTCTCGGCCAGCTCCTCTGCGCCTCTGGGTTCCGCCCCTTTTCCCAGGCCCTGCCCTCCGACTTCCTGTGCTGTGTTTGCCCCCTCAAGTCTTTAAATTATATGAACACACGCCTAACTACAACACGAAAAGAAATGTTTGACAGGGCAAAAGCACCTACAGTCCCACCGCGTCAACAATTTCACGTTTCTGTACTTTTTGGTTACTGTTTATTATATATATGTTTCCTTTTTCATCTGTAAAAAAGGGCTGCCTCCATAGGGCTGCCATGAAAATGAAATATAAATGTTAAGTGTCTTAGAGGTACTCGACATACAGTGTGCTCTCAATTTATATATATATAGAATTTTATTTTATTGCTTAAATTATTACAAAGAGTATTACATACGTCTCCCTTTTTTCCCCATTGACCTTCCCCCGGCCTCCCCTACTCCCCAGTGTCTTGTGTCCATTGGTTATGCTTATATGCATGCATACAAGTCCTTCGGTTGATCTCTTACCACCCACCCGCCTCCCGCCCCGCAACCCTCCTCGACCTTCCCACTGTAGTTTGACAGTCTGTTCGATGCTGCTCTGCCTCTGTATCTATTTTTGTTCATCAGTTTATAATGTTCTTTATTATCCATAAATGAGTGAGGTCATGTGGTGTTTTTCTTTCATTGACTGGCTTATTCAATTTAAATTTTATTATCTTGTATTACTCAAACATTTGTTATGAATATGTCTTACGCATCTTATTCTGTGAGACTTCTCCCATTTTATTGCGGGAGACTGGGGAACTGACAGGTATTCTAATAGAGGTGTATACTACACAACATGGATAATGCAGGTGAGAGCCCTGGGCCCAAACCATCGTTTGGACAATGTGCTAAATAAACTAGAGGGAATTAGAAGCTCCAAGGATAGGTAAAAATGACAAAACTAAAGACAAACTCAGGAACCCCAATATGTAGGGAAGAGAAAGCAAAAGAACCAGAAAAGAAGCATACTGCCAACGCCGCACCAATGTAGTTTTGATCACAACACAGGGATTCTGCTTTTAACATTAGCATTATGTCATGTCTTTTTCCACATTGATACACCGTATTTTTTCTGATTGCTTAATCTCCCATTATCCTGGTATTACCCAATGTGCTTAACTATTTGTTCTTTCACTTCACAAATATCTATTGAATGTCAACTAAGTGCCAGACGCTGTTCTAGGTACTTGAGGAAACCGCTTGTGAACAAAATAGGTACTTTTTTTTTTTCTCCTCTTGGAGTTTAAATTCTAGTAGATGTATGTTTGGGGCAGGGCAGATAGACATTTGAAAAGTGTTATGTAAATTATTTATTATGTTAGAAGATGATAGACACTAAGAGAAACTATAAACCAGGGAAGAAGCATGAGGCTTGATGGAATGGTAAAACTTAAAATACGGTGGTTAATGAAGACGTCTCTGAAAAGGGGACATTTGAGTTAGCACTTGAAAGAAGTGAGGGAATGAGCCGTGGGGACACATGGAGAAAGAGAACAGCCAGTGAAAAGGATCGTGTGACTGGGAAGGATATGAGGTCCTTGTGTGCCATTGTACATTTACTCTGACATGGTTCTGAGTCATATGGGTTCGCTCTGAGTCAGATGGGAAGCCGCTGGAGGGTTCTGAGCCCAGGAGTGGCACGATCCAATTTAAGATTTGAAAAGGAGCACTTTCACCGTTGCTCTGAAGGGAGGGAAGATGGAATAGGGAGCTCTTTCCATAACTCAGCCCCCAGGACGTGGTAGTCCAGAACAGGTTGGTAGTAGTAAGGGTGGTGAGAAATGGGGAAGTGGGGAAATGATTCATTTCCTTTTACAAAGATTGCTGTGGCTGCTGAGTATAGAGTAGTAGACTGTAGGTGTGAGGGAAGAAACAGAGAGACCAGCGGGAGGCTACCACAGTGAGGCGGGCAAAGGGGATGGTGGTGTGATTAGGGTGAGAGCAGTGGTGAACAGCCCTCCATGGTTACCTTGTTATTTCCAATTTTCTATTGTTATAAGACATTTGTCCCTCAATTTTTCACCTACATATTCCCCATCCTTTTTTGAAAAATATATATATGTTTATTGATTTCAGAGAGAGGAAGGGGGAGAGGGAGATAGAAATATCAATGATGAGAGAGAATCACTGATTGGTTGCCTCCTGCACGCCCCCTACTGGGTGGGGATCAAGCCCGCAACCCAGGCATGTGCCCTTAACTGGAATGGAACCTGGGACCCTTCAGTCTGCAGGCTGATGCTCTATTCATTGAGCCAAACCAGCTAGGGCTCACCATCCTTTTTCTCTTTGATTACCATTTCCTTATCATAAACCCCCAAGAGCAGGAGTACTGACCCTCAAAGAAATGATTCTTTTTTGTCTTTTTATATGTATTTCCATAGGTTCCCTTCAGAGAACTGGCCCATCCATGTGTGGAAATGAACTGTGTTTTGCTAGAACTATACCAGCTCTGCTGACGGAGGAAGGGATCAGAATCCATCCAAGTAAAGTGATTTCAATGATGCCAATTTGACACACCATTTTAGTCCAGCTATTGTGATGTTGTTGTTATTCAATTGTAGTTCTATTTTCAATGAGACATTTCAAACACACTAAACTATAAAGAATAATATTCCAAACACCCTACATTCATTACCAAGATTTAACAAATATGGATATTGCACCACATTTGCTTCTGTTACGGCTTTTGACTACTAAATGTTAGTGCTAGACAGCCCTGATTCTTGAGCCTTCTTTCACGTTGCTTACTATATATACATCTGACTTTCCTGGTCGTTGACCACCATTTCATTTCTGACACCTCCAACCTTCTTCCATCTTCTATAGTCATTCTGTTATTCATTTATTCAACTAAAAAGTCGTGTCTGCTGTGTGTCAGAGATGGGAGTTCTGGAATGAGGTGCAGCTTTACGTAAGGAGCTTAGGAATTTTAACAGCTGAAAGGTTAGTACTTTGTTTTTGAGCCCATGTCTCCTTGCTCCCAAATCAAACTGTGTCAAAACAGCCATATCAGAATGTCATGTACCTATCACAGAGCTAGTTCATGGCCGGCATTATTGTTTCTGCGTTTTTTCTAATGAACCATCTTCCTTCATAAGCAAACTCATTTCTGCTTCTTTGCTAAATCACAGAATCAGGCTATAATGAAGGTTGGGCATATTTTCAAGAAAATAGCCTTGCCCATTATCTTACAATAATTCTACCTTTTCACATTCCTCTCCTTTTCCCTAACCCCTCCCCCCCCCCATGCCTCCTACTGTGAAATACAAGGCATCTGATTAAGATACTGTGAAGGACATAGCTTAGGTGCTGCAAACATAAGGCAGCATATCATAGTGATCCAGAATGAAGATGTTTGGCACTTGATAGACCCAGGCTGGTACAATAGTTTCCTAGGGCTGCCGTAACAAATTACCACAAACTGGATTGGCATGAACCAACAGAAAGTTCTTCTCTAACAGTTCTGGAGGCTGGAAGTCCACATTGGTGGGGCCATGCTCCCTCCGAAGGCTCTAGGGAAGAATCTTCTTGTCTCTTCCTAGCTTCTGTGGGTTGCCAGCAGCCCTTGGCATTCCTCAACTGTGGCAACCTAGTTCCAACCTCGACCTCCATCTTTACATGGCCTTCTTTCCTGGTTTCCTCCTAGATCTCTGTCTCCAAGGACACTAGTGATTGGATGTAGGAGCCATGCTAATACAGTATAACTTTATCTTAACCTGAGTAAAGACACTATTTTCAAATAAGGTCACATTCTGAGGTCCAGTAGATATGAATTTTGGGAAAAGGCCGCTTAACTCAGTACCGTTAGATTCTAGACTTGCTAATTATTAACTATAAGACCTAGGAACAACTAATAAGCTGTCAGTGAAAATAGCAATTATAAGAGTGCAGAAGAAGGGAAGAGGGAACATTTCTGACTGATAAGACAACATGGAAGAGGTGTGTTAAACTAGACCAGAGGATTCTAGTAGGTGGAACTTTAACTGCTGTTTAAGGATTTATTGCACAACTTTTTGCCAGATACCGGGTGCTGTATTGAGCAGTGATTGTGTGATAAATTTCCTATAAATAGTTGGAGGAAAAAAGTGACCAGATCTGAGACAGACACTCCTGGGTTTTAATGGCAAGATGATATGTGATGGAATTCAGACATTTCAGCTCAGGGACTTTGTGAAGAATCAAGATGATCCTGCCCCCAGGAATGGCTCCCAGGAGGGTGTGGGGTGGTGAACGTTGACCTTAGCAAATGCTCTGAGGACATTTGCAAGCACCCTAAGACCAGGACATTGTTGGGGCTGATGAGGGGCCCTGAGAGAAGGGACTATTTCCTCTCCTTTCCGCATAGAAGACTTTGTTTGGAGAATGGGGACAGGAATTTGGTATTAGATAGAAGCTTGCATGTTTATGGGATAAGGTACTTTGAATA